CTGTAGACGATAGCGGACGTCCGTGAGTAACTCGTCGCGCTCCGCCATGCTCCTGGCCACTGCGGCCACCCGTGTATCGCCCGGCTCGTAAGAGCAAATAGTGGGAGAGTCACGGCCATACACAAGCTTGAACGGAGTTTCTTGGGTCGCTGTCTGGTAGGCGGTGTTGTATATGTACTCGGCCCAGGGAAGCCACCGGAGCCACTGCCTGGGACGATCCCCGGTGAGACAACGGAGGTACATCACAATGATCTTGTTAGCAGCCTCCGTTTGGCCATCCGACTGTGGATGAAACGCCGTCGTCATGTGCAGCTTGGTCCCGGTGAGGCGCATGAGCTCCCGCCAAAAAGCCGAGGTGAAGACGGGGTCGCGATCAGAGACCATGGACTACGAGACGCCATGGAGACGCACAATCTCAGCGAAGAACACCTGCGCCACTGATTCCTCCGTGTACGGGTGGGCCAGCGCCACAAAGTGGCAGTACTTGCTGAAGCGATCCACCACGGTGAGGATAACAGACTTCCCGCCCACACGAGGGAGCGCTTCTACGAAATCGATGCCGACGTCAGTCCACACGGCCGTGGGCACTAGCAGTGGCAGCAGCAGACCAGCTGGGTGCAAGTGCTCAGACTTGTACCGCTGGCAAGTACCACAGGTGCGGACATACTCCTGCACCGTCTTGCGAAGGTTAGGTGCGTGGAAGTCGCGGCGGAGACGATGCAGCGTGCGCAGGACGCCTTCGTGTCCGTCATCGTGCACTGCGGTGAGAAGCTCCTGGAGTAGTGGAGACGTTGGCGGGATGTAGAGGCGGCCGTTAAAAGTGACGAGGCCGTCGGAGAGCGCCCACGGCAGCTGCCGAGCGCCTGCCGTGATATCCTCGCGCAGCGCGACGAGTGCTGGGTCGGTGGACGAAGCTTGTCGTAGGCGGTCGATGAAGTCGAAGTGAGGACCAGATATAGCCATGACCCCCGTCTCTTCCGTGTCGCGGCGGGAAAGGGCATCCGCCACCGTGTTTGTACTACCGGCCTTGTACTCCACAGTGAAATCGGACCCCAGTAGTTTGCCGACCCAGTGGTGCTGCGGAATGGTTGCCAAGCGCTGGTCAAGGAGGAATTTGAGACTATAGTGGTCAGTTTTTACCACAAATTGGCGCCCCCAGAGGTACGGTCGCCAATGGCGAATAGAGAGCACCAGGCCAATGAGTTCCCGTTCATATGCCGCCAGAGAAGGTGACGAGGCGCGGCCGGCCGGCTGAAGAAAGCCACCGGGTGCTGATCCTGGAGAAGGACAGCCCCGAAACCGTATGTAGACGCGTCACACTCGACGATGAACGGCCGTGTGAAATCGGGCAACGCGAGCACGGGAGCCGTGGTGACCGCCGTCTTGAGGACGGTAAAAGCTGTTGCCGCCTCCGGCGACCATGAGAAGCCGTCCTTGCGAAGCAGGGCCGTCAGGGGCGCGGCGACCACGCCAAACTCCTTGACAAACTTGCGGTAGTACCCTGCAAGACCGAGAAACCCCCAGACCGCGCGCGCCGAGCGAGGCTGCGGCCAGTCGGCCACGGCCTGCACTTTTTCCGGATCCATGGCCACTCCGGCCGCGGAGATGGTGTGACCCAGGTAGGAGATCGACTCGACGACGAATGAGCATTTGGACCTCTTGACGAAGAGCCGGTGCTGGTGCAGTACGGTAAAGATGGTGCGCACATGGCGAAGATGATCGGCCCACGACTCGCTGAATATGAGGATGTCGTCAAAGAAGACGAGAACGAAGCGGCACAGGTACGGCCACAGCAGATCGTTCATGAGTGCCTGGAACGTCGCCGACGCGTTGCAGAGGCCGAACGGCATCACCAGGAACTCGTAGAGGCCGTCGTGGGTACGGAAGGCGGTCTTTGGGATGTCCTCCGCACGCATCCGCACCTGGTGGTAGCCGAAGCGTAAGTCGAGCTTGGTGAAAAAACGAGCACGCTGGAGCTCGTCGAGGAGTTCGTCCACCACCTGAATTGGAAACGCATCCTTGATGGTGATGGCGTTCAGGGCGCGGTAGTCGATGCAGAAGCGCCAGGACCCGTCGGGCTTGCGGACCAGTAGTACCGGCGATGAGAATGCGGAACGACTTGCTCGGATGATGCCCTGGGCGAGCATGGCGGCGCACTGATGCTCCAGCTCGTCCTTGTGCGCGGCCGGGTAGCGATACGGACGGACGGCCACCGGGGCGGAGCCAGGCAGCAGGGTGATGCCGTGGTCGCGGCTGCGGAGTGGTGGTACGCCGGAGGGTTCGGCAAAGATGCCGTCAAACTCGATGATGATGGCATCGAGGAAATCACGGCCATTGCATGATTGCAGGGCTGGCCCGTCCGGTCCTGCAAGGCCGCGCCAGCAGACCCGATGGCCCCTCCGCCAGAACGTCATGGAGAGGGCGCGGAAATACCACAGGATCGGTCCAAGCGTCGCCAGCCATTGCGTGCCCAGGACGACGTCGTAGCCTACGAGCGGCAAGGCGAGGAAATCCTCCGAGAACGCCTCCTGGTCGATGCGGAAGGACACGGCGCGATATGCGCCCTGGCACGGAACACGCTCGCCGTTGGCCACCGTGACACGCATCTTCTGGTGGTGGGGGATGGCAGTGTAGCACGAGCGGCCGCCTCCTCGGTGATGAAGTTGTGGGTGGAGCCTGAGTCGATCAGGGCGAGGAGGAAGACACACCCGAGGGTGATATGCATCTGCATGGTCTCGCTCGTGCGCACGCCGGAGATCGCGTGGAGCGAGATCCGAGGGTCGGCCGGCGAGGCATCAGCGGTGGCGGAGGCCGTGTCGTCGTCGTCGTCTTCCGGCGCCAAGTCGAGGAGAAAGATGCGCTGGCAGACGCGGGTGTGGCCCCTGCCAAACTTCTCATTACAATTGAAGCATAGGCCCAGGGGACGGCGTTCCTCCATCTTTGTCTGTGACAGGCGTTTGATTGGGCGCCCTTCCGGCAGACTGGGAGCAGGGGGTGCGGCTGGTAGAGCCGGTGCGGGGGGCGCGAGGCGTGGTACGGGCGCCGGCAGGATGCCCTTCTGCTGAAAACGCACCGGTGGCGCGGAGGTGAGCGCGCACTGGTCGCGCAGCTCCAACTTGCGGGCGAGGCTCATGGCGACGGCGAGGGACTGCGGGTTGTGGATTTCCACGTCGAGGCTGAGGGGTGGATGGGGTCCCGCAGTGAAGATCTGAACCTTCTGTGTCTCTGATAAGATGCCTGCCCGGGGGAGGAGCGCCTCAAACCGCTCCTGGAAGTCGACTACGGACGTTGTGCACTTGCACGCCATTAGTTCGCCCAGCGGGTTAGCGCGTAGAGGTGGCCCGAAGCGGAGGTTGAGCAGCTCGGAGAAGCGGCGCCACGGCGGAGTGCCCTCGTCACGCTGGACCTGCATGTACCACAGCTGGGCAGAACCCTCAAGGTTGTAGGACGCCATCCAGACTTTTTCCTCCTCGGCGATCCGTTGTTGATGGAAGAAGGACTCGCATCTGTTGAGGAAAGCGAGCGGATCTGACTTGCCGTCGAACTTGGGGAAGTCCATCTTCTGAAACCGGGGCGGGCGATCATTGTGGTGCTGCCCATCGTGGGCGCCGGCAGCGCTCGACGAGGAGGTGGACTTGTCCTTCTGGAGCGCGGCGACGGACGTCTGCAGGGACGCCACCGTTGCAGTCAAGGCCTCGATTATCTTGGCCAGATCAACGGTGGTTGGTTCTGCCATGCCGGACGTGACCGAGGCGGCGGCGAAAGGTGGCGATGGAGGTGTGCTTGGCGCGGACGCAGAAGAGGATCGCCTGGAACCTGATACCAAGTTGTCAAGGGCCTCGGTGCCCAAGACAGCAGGACCTCGACTACGTAGTTCGTAGTCTCGGGGGATAGGAGCGCTAGGGTTTTTGCCTGGCTGCTCAATGGTGCGGGAGGAGAGGATAGGAGTAGAGGAAGAGGTAGGAGATAATAACTTTATTGCTTGCCCTCAAAGGGTGCTGGTTATACGGTATATAAAGGCCCCATGGGCTGCTAAGAAACTAGAAACCTATGCCTAAACTACTCCTTTATTATAGGAACTAATGTATAAGGACCAGGACTCCTGCCCAGCCTACGCCTCGCCTGTTGCGGCCGGCGGCTGTCGCTCCTGGCCGCGTGGCCCACGCCTGTAGGCCGTGCCCCACATGACAGAAGTGCTTCCAAAGTGATGGGATGAGAAAGTTCTACTAATACAGTTTCACTGAAATCTATGTGTTTTATAATTGAAGATCTATTAGTGCTTATATATCCATTTGATTAGTCTTATAAAAGGAACTGTATGAACACAGAAATGCATTAGAGAATAAAAATAGGATAGGTACCCCTCAGATTTTGCGTCACACTAGTACTTCGTTAGTGATAGACAGATAAAAATACTACACTAAAGAAACACAAATGCACCAAAAAAATAGGCAGAGTAGGATAATGAAATTCACAAGGTATGAAAACTATCTGGTTAAGACGGTGAGACTAAATTCACCATGCAGTCAAATGTAATTCAACTAACTAAATATGTGGCACTTGTTATGAAGCTAGTCCAGACTACAGATGTGCTTGCAGATGAAGTAATGAGGCAGCAATATGATTTTGCTTTCAAATATGGGCGGAACTACCTTGCAACTATCTGTTAATTAGTCTGAACCAACAGATTGCTCCTTTTACTACATACTAGTGCTTCACTAAGTGCTAGGCAGATAAAAAATTACTACACTGCACAACCAGAAACACACTGAAAACAATAGGCAAAGTAGGACAGTGAATTCTCAGGTGTCCTTATCTGGTTAAAGCAGATGGACTAAATCCAGCACCCAGTGAAACGAAATTCAACTACTGTAACAAATTTTGTGGCAAATGGTTATGGAACTAGTCTAGACTACAAATGTGCTTAATGATGAGATGGCAATATGATTTTCTTTCCACATATGGATGGTACTACAACTCTACAAGAAACAACAACTGCATCAGCCGGGGCCCGGGTTGGCATCGAGGTAGAGGTGCATGTTGAGGAAGAGGTCGATGTCTTGGGCGACAGTCTGCGCGAGGTCGTAACGATCAGGACGAAACACTCCCCGGTTAAGGTCGTTGGCGAGGTTGAGTAGACCACCACGGACAAGCATGTTCACGGCCTCGGGAAGCCAGGCACCGTCTCGGCGGAAGCGGCAGGTGGCGAGAGGACCGAGGTCAAGATCTCTTAAGGTGCAGCTGATAGCGTGGAGGCGCTCCCCGGTGCGGCGCTTGATGAGCTTGATGGATCTCCCGTCCTCAAGCAACGAGACGATGTTTGCGCATCCGAGCTGCGCTTGATCGAGGTTGTCATGCAGGATGGCAAGCTGTGGAAGCAGTTGGAAGTTGAATACGCGCCATCCTCTGTCCTGGACTTTGCCCCGCATAAGATCAAACACCTTGCGTGCATTCCGTATGCCGTCGATGCAGAAGAGGCGGGCGTGGACACCGAGCTCGTTGCCGTGACGCAGTTGAAAGAGTTGAGGGGGTGCATCTCGCGAGGGGCGACGTAGTCGTCGACGGGCGCTGGGGGCGGCGGCATGGCGATGTGGACCTTCTTCAGCACGAAGCGTCCCACCCGCTGGCCGAGCGAGCGCACGCGGCCCAGCAGCACGCGCGGATCCTGCTCGACCACCAGCAGCTCGGCGAGGTCGCAGATTTCGTGCGCCAGCGAGACTGCGCGCTGAGGGAGAGGGCGTTGCCTGGTGCGGAAGCTGCAGGCCGAGAGCGAGGACAGGTCGAGCTCCAGGGTGTGCACTCCCGTGTTTCGGAGAAGCTGTGGTCGGATCATCATCCTGGTTCTCGACCGCGGAGTCGATCTCGTCGAGGAGGGTGCTGGCGCTGCGGACGTAGTCATGGAGCTTGTCCAGCCGTTGGAGAAGGGGGAATTCCTCTATGCGCCACGCGCCACCTTCCTCGCTGACCTTGTCATACAGCAGGGCGACGATCTCCTCGACGTCGCGGAGGCTGTCAATGGAGATGATGCGCACCGGCAGATCGAAGATCCCGTCGTAGCCCTTCACGATACTCTGAACATGGCCCAGAGACGTCACCTCTAGCGGGTTCGCCATGGCTGGCTAGTGGGAGCCAGGAGCGAGGTGGAGGTGGGGGATTGGGGAAGGGTGTGGCCTTGTGGATGGTGCGGCCGATAGAAGAAATTGGGGTGGGTCTGTGGGTGGGGAGGGGACGACCATTAATCGCCTCGCGCACTAAAAAAACACAGGCACACAACTAGTTTTGCGACGCGAGAAATAAAATGTTGTAGATAATAGTATTTTTTAACTTTTTTTCACACCAATCTACTACTTTCTTTTGCAGTTTGCTTACAATAATCCACCTTTTTAATCAAGAATCAGGGATAGCTAGAATGCCAACAAGGGCGATTCACACAAATCAGACATGTCCACCATCTCACTATATATGGGAATAAAACAACCCATTGCCCGAACCCAAAACCATATAGTCCGTAACTCGATCACTGTATCGGGTAATAGCTTTGAAAACCAAAATTATATTCAGGAAATTTGCATTACAAGTTATGGTAAATAAATAACCCGAAATAATTCGGCAACCAAGTAAGATTGTAACAAATTCAGCACCTGTTGGCGTAACGGGAACAGGTATATCCCGGCACGCCAATTGGCCACCCAAATCAACCAGGAGCAAAAACACATCAAAAAGGCTACTACAACATCTTAGAAGGAGTCTAATCTCCACGGTGTGCCGCATGATGGTACACAGATCTTCGTCAAGATCTATGACCAGCAAAGATCCAATACCAGTGAAGGAAATATCATCAGTGACGCCGTGCATACAGTGCTCGCGTGCCGAGCATGATGCTAGCGAGCATACTCTGTTAGAATAAAACGCTAATGTAAGATTATAGACGACACACCAAGGTACGATATTTGTTAACGATGTTCACCGATATGACTACATCCCCGAGGCATGACTACGGGCGCTCCTCCCCAAGATACCGCAACACCGGCCGCCCGGGCGCCGGCACAAGCCGTTGACTCCCCCACGTACCTGTTGCTATCAAGTCATCATCATGGGTTACAACCTGTGGTGCCCCTCCGTATATAAGAGGCCTAGGATACAAGTGTCCGACTCCTACACAATTCGTACCTAACCACACCAATTACAACTCCAAGTCCACGTAACCCCTTGCGTACATAATATTCGACACAAATATAACAAACTCCACCTTGGCGAATATTCTCCACCACTTAGAAGTCGTCCATGCTCGAACTTTCATGTACTCCAGACTTGGGTTATATCCTTTGTAGCTTACTGAGAGCTACCCGACGGGTCAGATCCACCGCCACCGTGAGACTGCACTGCTACTCCTGTAGCTCCACTCTCCATGGCTACACCTGCAATAGTTGTTGGGGAACGTTGCAGAAAACAAAAATTTTCCTACGGTTTCACCAAGATCCATCTAGGAGTTCATCTAGCAACGAGTGATCGGATTGCATCTACATACCTTTGTAGATCACGCGCGGAAGCGTTCAAAGAACGGGGATGAGGAAGGCGTACTCGACGTGATCCAAATCACCGGAGATCCTAGCGCCGAACGGACGGCACCTCCGTGTTCAATACACGTATGGTCAGCGTGACGTCTCCTCCTTCTTGATCCAGCAAGGGGAATGAGAGGTTGAGGAAGATGGCTCCAGCAGCAGCACGACGGCGTGGTGGTGGTGGAGCTGCAGTACTCCGGCAAGGCTTCGCCAAGCACTATGGAGGAGGAGGATGTGTTGGAGAGGGAGAGGGAGGCACCAAAGGCGTGGTGGGAGAGGCCCTCCTTCCCTCACTATATATAGGGAGCCTAGGGGGGCGCCGGCCCTAGGAGATGCAATCTCCTAGGGGGGCGGCGGCCAAGGGAGGAATCCCTCCTCCCCAAGGCACCTAGGAGGTGCCTTCCCGCTTTAGGACTCTTCCTTTCTTGATCTCTTGGCGCATGGGCCTCTTGGGGCTGGTGCCCTTGGCCCATACAGGCCAAGGCGCATACCCCTACAGCCCATGTGGCCCCCCGGGGCAGGTGGCCCCACCCGGTGGACCCCCGGGACCCTTTCGGTGGTCCCGGTACAATACCGGTGACCCCGAAACTTGTCCCGACGGCCGAAATAGCATTTCCTATATATAATTCTTTACCTCCGGACCATTCCGGAACTCCTCGTGACGTCCGGGATCTCATCCGGGACTCCGAACAACATTCGGGTTACTGCATATACATATCCCTACAACCCTAGCGTCACCGAACCTTAAGTGTGTAGACCCTACGGGTTCGGGAGACATGTAGACATGACCGAGATTGCTCTCCGGTCAATAACCAACAGCGGGATCTGGATACCCATGTTGGCTCCCACATGCTCCTCGATGATCTCATCGGATGAACCACGATGTCGAGGATTCAAGCAACCCCGTATACAATTCCCTTTGTCAATCGGTATGCTACTTGCCCGAGATTCGATCGTCGGTATCCCAATACCTTGTTCAATCTCGTTACCGGCAAGTCACTTTACTCGTACCGTAATGCATGATCCCGTGACCAGACACTTGGTCACTTTGAGCTCATAATGATGATGTATTACCGAGTGGGCCCAGTGATACCTCTCCGTCATACGGAGTGACAAATCCCAGTCTTGATCCGTGTCAACCCAATAGACACTTTCGGAGATACCCGTAGTATACCTTTATAGTCACCCAGTTATGTTGTGATGTTTGGTACACCCAAAGCACTCCTACGGTATCCGGGAGTTACACGATCTCATGGTCTAAGGAAAAGATACTTGACATTGGAAAAACTCTAGCAAACGAACTATACGATCTTATGCTATGTTTAGGATTGGGTCTTGTCCATCACATCATTCTCCTAATGATGTGATCTCGTTATCAATGACATCCAATGTCCATAGTCAGGAAACCATGACTATCTGTTGATCGACGAGCTAGTCAACTAGAGACTTACTAGGGACATGTTGGTGTCTATTATTCACACATGTATTACGATTTCCGGATAACACAATTATAGCATGAATAAAGACAATTATCATGAACAAGGAAATATAATAATAATGCTTTTATTATTGCCTCTAGGGCATATTTCCAACAGTCTCCCACTTGCACTAGAGTCAATAATCTAGTTACATTGTGATGAATCAAACACCCATGGAATTCTGGTGTTGATCATGTTTTGCTCTAGGGAGAGGTTTAGTCAATGGATCTGCTACATTTAGGTCCGTATGTACTTTACAAATATCTATGTCTCCATCTTGAACATTTTCACGAATGGAGTTGAAGCGACGCTTGATGTGCCTGGTCTTCTTGTGAAACCTGGGCTCCTTGGCAAGTGCAATAGCTCCAGTGTTGTCACAGAAGAGTTTGATTGGCCCCGACGCATTGGGTATGACTCCTAGGTCGGTGATGAACTCCTTCACCCAAATTACTTCATGTGCTGCCTCCGAGGCTGCCATGTACTCCGCTTCACATGTAGATCCCGCCACGACGCTCTGCTTGCAACTGCACCAGCTTACTGCCCCACCATTCAAAATATACACGTATCTGGTTTGTGACTTTGAGTCATCCAGATCTGTGTCGAAGCTAGCGTCGACGTAACACTTTACGACGAGCTCTTCGTCACCTCCATAGACGAGAAACATTTCCTTAGTCCTTTTCAGGTACTTCAGGATATTCTTGACCGCTGTCCAGTGTTCCTTGCCGGGATTACTTTGGTACCTATCTACCAAACTTACGGCAAGGTTTACATCAGGTCTGGTACACAGCATGGCATACATAATAGAACCTATGGCTGAGGCATAGGGGATGACACTCATCTCTTTTATATCTTCTGCCGTGGTCGGACATTGAGCTGAGCTCAATTTCACACCTTGCAACACAGGCAAGAACCCCTTCTTAGACTGATCCATATTGAACTTCTTCAATATCTTATCAAGGTATGTGCTTTGTGAAAGACCTATGAGGCGTCTTGATCTGTCTCTATAGATCTTGATGCCTAATATATAAGCAGCTTCTCCAAGGTCCTTCATTGAAAAACTCTTATTCAAGTAGGCCTTAATGCTGTCCAAAAGCTCTATATCATTTTCCATCAAAAGTATGTCATCTACATATAATATGAGAAATGCTACAGAGCTCCCACTTAGTTTCTTGTAAACGCAGGCTTCTCCATAAGTCTGCGTAAACCCAAACGCTTTGATCATCTCATCAAAGCGAATGTTCCAACTCCGAGATGCTTGCACCAGCCCATAAATCGAGCGTTGGAGCTTGCACACCTTGTTAGCATTCTTAGGATCGACAAAACCTTTCGGCTGCATCATATACAATTCTTGCTTAAGGAAACCATTAAGAAATGTCGTTTTCACGTCCATTTGCCATATCTCATAATCATAGAATGCGGCAATTGCTAACATGATTCGGACGGACTTTAGCTTTGCTACCGGTGAGAAAGTCTCATCGTAGTCAACCCCTTGAACTTGTCGATAACCCTTAGCGACAAGCCGAGCTTTATAGATGGTCACATTACCATCCGCGTCTGTCTTCTTCTTAAAGATCCATTTATTTTCTATGGCTCGCCGCTCAACAGGCAAATCAGTCAAAGTCCATACTTCGTTTTCATACATGGATCCTATCTCGGATTTCATGGCTTCTAGCCATTTGTCGGAATCCGGGCCCGCCATCGCTTCTTCATAGTTCGAAGGTTCACCGTTGTCTAACAACATGATTTCCAAAACAGGGTTGCCGTACCACTCTGGTGCGGAACGTGTCCTTGTGGACCTACGAAGTTCAGTAGCAACTTGATCTGAAGTTTCATGATCATCATCATTAACTTCCTCTCTAGTCGGTGCAGGCACCTCAGGAACATTTTCTTGAGTTGCGCCATTTTCCGGTTCAAGAGGTAATACTTCATCAAGTTCTACTTTCCTCCCACTTACTTCTTTCGAGAGAAACTCCTTCTCTAGAAAGGATCCATTCTTGGCAACAAAGATCTTGCCTTCGGATCTGAGGTAGAAGGTATACCCAATAGTTTCTTTAGGGTATCCTATGAAGACGC